CCCTAAACTTAACCATTTATCCTGATCCCTAATGTTAACCTCAGACCCCCGACCCAAAGACCCCTGGTGGCGCAACCCGGAAAAGCCGCGGGCGGCAAGGACTGACACGAGGGGGGTACCTGATGCGTCAAAATTGGACGCAAAGGGACCTTTGAAAAACGTCAATATGTGACGACTCGGGAGTGAGAATGTGTTGGTATGTGTGTATATATATTATACAAGATATTTTGCATGCCATATTTTGCAAGAAATGGCATTTTCCTCAATTTTATGTGCTCACTTTATATAGTTACCGTAAGTTAAATGTTTGTTTTTCAAAAACAGAAAATTTGGATCTTTTTTTTGTTATTATTATTTTGTATCCAGTAATGAAATGTCAGAAGAGGCTAACTAAAGCAGTAGTTGCGAGAGATTCTTTATTGCAGCACTTCTCTTTTTTTTCTGGAGTTTCAGTCACGAYGACCATCAGATCTGTGAGAACCTCTCATTAATGGCTGCTCAAAATGGAGCTAAACATTCTAATACCTATATATGTATTTCATTTGTGTTCAGTGTCAAAATGGGATTAGAAGAAAGACATGAAATACTGAAATATTGTGGTCTACATAAGCTATGCAGTTCTTTGCAAAAGTCTTGAGGTTGTTTTTTAATTTTGAACATTTTGTCTCCAGGCAGGCAGATTCCTTATAATCTTTCAAAGTGAGCTTCGTGTTTTCTTTTAGAGTTTGGAAGCTTGTTCGAAGTGTTTCTTTAAACTTTGGCAATTTTTTGTTTTGTTTGTTAAACTATATAAAACTGGTATTTTGCTACCAGCAGCTTGTTGCAATGACAGAATTTCCTCACATACTGTATCTTTAGTTGAATCGATAAAAATACCAAAAAATAACACATAAATGGTATTTTAAGATCAACAAGGTGATTTTCCAGTAGGTATGAGCTGAACATTGTTCATCTGGTTATAAAAACTGGACAGAAAGGAAGTAAAAGAAAAGGAAAAAAAACAGCCAACACTGCAAACACAAACATTAAAAGAACACCAGAAAGCACTAAGAACTACTGATAGTGTGGTTGTAGCGGAGTGTTTAGGGGAGTTATCCTGGAACCGGAAGGTCGCAGGTTTGATCCCCCGTCCAGCCGTCTCAGTTGTGGTGTCCTTGGGCAAGACACTTCACCCACCTTACCTACTGATGGTGGTCAGAGGGTCCGGTGGCGCTGGTGCATGGCAGCCCCACCTCTRTCAGTGTGCCCCAGGGCAGCTGTGGCTACAGTGTAGTTTGCCATCATCARTGTGTGAATGTGAGTGTGAATGGGTGAATGTTTGTTAGTGTAAAGCGTTTTGGGGTCCGGAGGGACTTGATAAGCACTCTATAAGTTCAGTACCATTTACCATTTACTGATGCCCTTTTATTAAAACTTACATAAATTTAAAAGTAGCTTAAAACTTTTGCACAGCTCTTTATTGTCAACAGATTATAACATGTTTTTAACACTCTTGTTACTTCTTGTACTTCTCTTGTTCCTCCTTCAGGTTCCAAAGAGATCAGTCCTCTGATMATAAACATAATAGCTGGATGTGCTGTGGTGGTGTTTGTTTTGCTGTTKGTGGTGGTCTTCGTCACCTTCATGGCTACAAAACGATTCACCAAGAAAAAGATGCTGAGTCAGTCCTTCCAACCTGCAGATGTTTCCAAAGAGACAAGCGAGGTATCTTGATCAGACCACCTGTTCTTTGCATCAGTTTGATGCACATTGTGTTACATCAGTAACACATCTTCTGCTTTTATTTTTTCCCTTCAAGCCTCTCGTGATCAACGTCACAGAACCTGCAGCAGACACCGGCCTGAAGGCCGTTGGTCTGAGTCTTGTAAGTGAKCAGGAGTTATCCAATCTGCCTGACTGCGTCCCTCGGGAGATTAGGAGTGAGTATAAGGCTTTAGGCTTGAACCGCTATGAGCTTCTGATAGTTTAACCTCGAGCTAAAACACCAGTTTTACAGCAGCAGAACAAAAATGTCAAAAATGCGTCACGTGTTTTGCTCTTATTTAAAAATAAAAATGCTGCCTAACTTATATAACATAATGCTTAATAATTATTATTTTATGGGTGTGACAGTATAATAATATATTTATATTTATTTTATTGTTTATTAATAACACTGTTATTGAAGACTTTATTCAGAATCAAGGCTGAAATTTTAATTTAATTACAAGTGTCTAGAACAAATTTAAAATTTCATTGGTTTAAACACTCAACAGGTTGTTTTACTTATTTTATTTGTAACTATGCCTATTACACGTAATCTTACTTTTTTCCTGCTGTTTTCTTTGTAAAGTAACGGTGAAAGGCTGGGGGGAATTAAGGTGTTTTATATGTTAAAAATGATCTGACTGTYAACATAAAACAGAAAGGGATTCTGGGTTATTGAAAACGATCCAAGGCTGAAGGCAGCCTGAATTCTTTACCAAGTTAAGAAAATAAAGGACCTCTCTAATCCAGCTTGTATACATAGGTGGAGCTGCAGATTTCCAGTTTAGCAATATTAGCCTCCTGGCTTAACAGAGTTGTGAATGCTGTTAAATCGTTTTTATCAGGAGAGAGGAGGGAAGTGGGCCTCTCAAACAAGGCAGTTAGGACATTAAGAGTTACATTAAACAGCGTTAGATTAGAGTCGGACCAGAACCTCTTCAAGGAGGGACAGCTCCAAAACGTGTGTGAGTAACTTACCGTGGTCTGCCAACATTGAACATCAGTTCTTCTAGTAAAAGTTAGGAAGGGATGGAAATTGAGAGGAYGAGCTCTGGATATAATGTTAAGCTTGAAAGCATCTAAAAAAATATTCAGTTGAAAAGAAACAGAAGTAGAATTAGCTCATACAYTTCTCCAGGTTTATACACCTGGCCCGGCCTCAGCTCTGGCTTCAGCCGATAGAAAAGTTCTGTTCTGACTCTTAATACCTCTCGTCTCCTCCTCTTCAGTCTCGGACCTCATCTACACGGTGCTGGATCTGGTTCCGGTGTCGCAGGTGAAGCAGTTGGTGCGCTCTCTGGGCGTGCGGGACATGGAGATCGAACAAGCAGAGATGGACTACAGGTCCTGCCGGGAGGCTCGCTACCAGATGCTGCGGGTGTGGGCCGAGAGGGGCGTACGAGGCGGGAGAGGCGAAATGTTACACCGGCCGCTCCTGGAGGACCTCTTAGACAAACTGAGACAGATGCACCTGGGTTGGGCTGCCGAGGAGCTGGAGACAAAGTATTCYATTCAGTGACGCGACGCGCCTCGCCAAGTTGGACTTGAAAAAAAAAACAAAGCTTATGAGACCAAGTATTGTTCGCTCAAAGACTCGCTCAAGGACAGAGCCGGAGTGAATGAAGAGATAAGGTGCTAAAAGCAAAGAGTCAGTTTTATTTCCCATCAGACCAGTGAGGCTGAGAACTCTACCTCTGATCAGCAAACAGCCACGAGCAAAACGATCAAAGAAGATTGGACTWTGAGTCATAATTCTTTGTAAAGAACTTTCTGCAATATGTTTTTATAGCAGTTTTTATACCGATCTCATACAGCAGTTATGAAGCTAGCTCTCATTAATTGGAGCTTAAACTCTGTTTAAAGTCAACTAAATCTTCTCGCTGGCATTTCTAAATAACTTATTGTTAGCATCAAAGGGAAAATGTGTTTTTGTGTGTTTTGAGGGGGGATTCTGTGTCTCCAGGGCTTTTTGTTTTGTTGGATAAAAAGTTGTGGATATTTTCATCTACTGGGTTATTTTTAATCTCTTTCCTGAGCAGCCGCGTCCACGCTTTCATTAAAAAATACAAAATTCAGAGGAAAATCATCGCCCAGTGGGTGTTTATACAAAACCTGTCTGAATATTAACAGGGTTGTGTTCTGTGTTGATGTAATACAATCCTGGTCCTGGAGGGCCGCTATCCTGCAGGTTTTAGATGTTTCTCAGCTCAAACACACCTGMTTTGAATGGCTGGGTGATTAAGAGGCTTCTGCAGAACTTGAGGAGGTAATTCAATCACTGAATCGGGTTGAGAGCAGAAAAACATCTAAAGCATGCAGGACAGCGGCTCTCAGGGACCAGAAACAGACACCCCTGTTGGTGTAAATGTCCAGTGAAGACATTTCTACCTTGTTGGACGTTTTCTCATCCTGTTGGTGTTGAAAAAAGACGTGACTGTGAAATTCAAACATTTGCTTACCCAAAATAACTCAAGGGTTTTCAAACTGAACGTTAAGATTTGCATTTTTTTCATAAATTCAACTTGTATGCAAAAAATATTTTTTGCATACAAGTTTTGCAGCTTTTTTGCRAACTGTTTGTGATAAAGATTTCAAATTATCTTAAGTGCAAAAAAGAACATTTGTATTGTTGCATACTGTAGTTATTTTATACAAATTATTGATTTTCTTGTAGATTAATGAACTTTATATGTGGCCGATTGCATTTTGTACAGTTCTTTTGACAGAACTTTATGCTTGTGTTTAGTTGTATTGATTTTTACCTGCAGTGTCATTTTATTTGTCATCTAAACTACACTGTTTTWAAATTTTTTGGCTTATTGTTAGTCACAATGTAAGAATTATGCACCTAAACATGATTGCAAACTTTTTCACTCATTAGGAGAAAATGGTCTTTTTRTGGAGGAAAACATCAAATTAAATGGTGACTAATAATAAAGCAGCATCATAGATTTAACTGGTAACACTTTAATAGTCACTTCCAGTCTATTAARCAAAACTAAACCGAGGAAGCTTGTTGTTCCTCCTCCTGTACAGACCAGAGCCTTCCAATGTTTGCAGTCTTTTTTTATTTTACTGCCTCAGTAGCATTCTTCTAAGCCCTATTATAAAAGCATTATTTACGAGTGTTTCACAGAACAGGACACGCCTCGTCTCGGGCCTCCACACGGGCGGCAGATCGAACCAGATGTGTGAATCCAAAGCACTTTTATCCTGCTGAACACTGTTTTTACACTCTTTATTGGTGGTTTTTTTTAATAAATGTGTTGTAAATTTATATGTCTGAGTTGTGGTTCTGTGTTTAGAGGAAAATATTTGAGTAACTGCAGTCAGGCTTCCAGTCTACATTCCAATATGAGCTTTATTTTGGTCTTTTACCTTTAATGATCTTTTCATCTTTTCTTTGGTTGTATTTTTTTCATTATTTTTCCATTCTTTTTCATCAAACTTCATCTCTTTTTCACCTTCTAACTGCATTTTTCCACCTGTTTTCTGCTCAGGTTGATCAAAGAACCCGAGCAACACAAAACAACAGTGGTTCATCTTCAGAAAAAAAAGGTAAGTTGCAACCTCTGCTCCATTAAACTCCTTTCACTGCGACACATTAAAACCAAACCCTGAGCGCTGATTTGTCGGCTGCAGAATCCAGTTGTTCCCGTCGGGCCAGTTGCAGAGACGGTACAGGTTGCAGCTGAAAGCCTGAGGAGGGAGGGACGGGTCAGGTGCAATGTAGAGAGAGAGAGAGAGAGAGAGGCAGGAGAGGAGGAGAAAGCCAACAGAAACCAAAGATGACTGCATGAAGCAAAATGGATCCAGCCAAAACCAGGTAAAGTTTCTTCTTTTAATTTCTTTTAAGCACTGATTCAGGGCTCAGAATTGACTCCAATGTGATCCTAAAATGAGACATAATGAGGTTGTTTCCACCTCATTGGGTCACAGTTATGCTTGGGGATTTATTGATTTAATGTGATTATATAAGTGGCAGCAGGTTTGATGTACTTTGGAAATTATAGTGTTTCAARTCCAGAATAATTCAGAAATGTCACCAATATCCCTGATACAGTCTACACAGGTACTGATACAGTCTACACAGGTACTGATACAGTGTATACAGGTACTGATACAGTGTACACAGGTACTGATACAGTGTACACAGGTACTGATACAGTGTACACAGGTACTGATACAGTGTACACAGGTACTGATACAGTGTATACAGTTACTGATACAGTGTACACAGTTACTGATACAGTGTACACAGGTACTGATACAGTGTACACAGTTACTGGTACAGTGTACACAGGTACAGGTTTTCTCCCTCAAACTCTTCAATCCTGGTTGTAATATAACTGAAGCCTTCTTCCTGCTGTGTCTCAGCATCTGAATCGAGCCAAAAGCAGCACTATGTTGTTTTTGTTCCTTTTAAAAGGAACA